TTTCAGACATTATTTTCTCTACGACTATATAATTTTAACCAGAGAAAAGAAACCAAGCAGTTTTTGACATTTCAGTTTTTTGTATTGTCAAACCATTTTGTGCAGTCACAATTTTATAATGTAAATTATAATAAATTTAAACAAATGGTATGCCTAAATATTTATTATAAACAACAACAAATACAAAACTAATTTTACAAGTAATCAGATTCTGTACACATCTATTCTTTTTCTACATTTTCTTTATTTATAATGTTTATGGTTATTTGGTTATTACTACAATTAGTAAAATGAATTCCTGGTGCATTATTGCCTAAAACTTCTGAAGTAACATTTTTTAGATTATCTATAGATGTTATTGTAGATGTAATTTGTTTTGTTTGTGTGACTTCACTTAATATTTTATTAGCAACACACATTCTACTATTCAGCGAATTATCTACATAATTCTCAGCAACCGTTGATGATTTCCATCCACCATGTCTCTTTAACATGGTTATGTCTGCACCTGCATCGACCAGCATTGTTGCAGAGGTACGTCTAAAACAATGTCCTGTATATTGTTTTGGATTTTTTAGTTTCAGGAATGTTGCTATCTGATTTGGCATACTACCAAATTTGTTCATTCCAATGACTTGATTGGTGCAACGCCCTTTTTGATAATTTAAAAAAAAAATTTTACTTGTAGCATTAACAGGTCGTAATGCCCAATATTTCTTAAAAATTGTACAAAATAACCCTGTTATAGTAAATTTTCTCTCAATTTTTGTTTTTGTGTCGGGAACTTGAATTAAAATTGCACCACCTAAATCCTGAATGTGATCAGTCTTCATCTGCCACAGTTCATGCTTACGACAGGCACCCATTAGGCCAACTATGAAAGCCACCTTAAAATAAAAGTCATACATTTTAATTAAAGTATATACAAGAGTTTTGTTTACCTTTGTTGCAAGATAAACATCATCCGGAGCTTCATTAATAAATTTATTTATTTCCTCTCTTGTCAAAGTTTTAGACTTTTTTGATTGAAATCCATCAGATTTTCTTTTTAGAAATACTCGTAATGTAGCATAATTTGCTATATTAATATTGTGCTTGAGTGTAATTGTACTACGAAGCATTGAATAAATCTTCCAAAGAGTGGATGGTGCCTTTTCATTGGATAGTTCGCTGAAGTAAGCAAGAACAACATTTTCGGAAAACGAATTTGCACCTTTATTTGTTTTCCAATCGATAAATTGTTTATAACAATGTTCGTATGTGTCCTTGGATTTTTGAGGTAATAAATCGTTTACAGTGGAAGTAGCTACTTCAACCACTTCAGGAGGTGTACACAATAACTCTTCACTCATTTTGTTGTTTTTGTACCGATTATAAAGGTTTTTTCTTAAAAGGTCTTTTTTTTAACTTTTTGAATCTTTCAGTGTCAAACTGTCAAAGCCGGTATAGTAGGTAACTGGTTTATCATTTTAATATCAAATTTATTATAATTTTGATTTGTATATTTGAAAAACAATAAATATAACTAATTTTTTGTGCCTAAATCTTAATTATACAACTGTGTTTTTTTTATTTCTAAATAATACAGTAATATTTAAATATTTTTAAATTTTTTTACGTTTAATAAACAGCCAAAAGATGTCGCTACTTGTGACCATTCTTAAACAAGAGTGAGAATATTCTCGCACAGTATTGCAGAAAAACATCCTTTCTATGATCAAAAATTACACTAGAATGTTACTATTCTTAAGTAGTCGTAGAGAAATATTTTTCTCTACGACTACTTAAGAATAGTAACATTCTAGTGTAATTTTTGATCATAGAAAGGATGTTTTTCTGCAATACTGTGCGAGAATATTCCTACTCTTGGTTAAGAATGGTCACAAGTAACGACATCTCCTGACTGTTTAGTAAACGTAAAAAATTTAAAAATATTTAAATATTACTGTATTATTTATTAATTAAAAAATAATAGCAGTTGTATAATTAAGGTTTAGGCACAAAAAATTGGTTATATTTATTGTTTTTCAAATATACAAATCAAAATTATAATAAATTTGATATTAAAATGATAAACCAGTTACCTACTATACCGGCTTTGAAGTTTTGACAGATTCAAAAAGTTTAAAAAAAGACCTTTAAAATGTAGAAAAAGAATAGATGTTGACATAGATAAATAAATAAATAAAATAAAATACTTTATTTTCATCCCAAGAAACATACAGTTTATAGAGGGACACCTCTAATCATACAATTACTTGTAAAATTAGTTTTGTATTTGTTACAATGTTATTTTTTTTATTACTTAGTGTAAATAACTATTTTTAATTATAATAAAGATTTAGGCATACCATTTGTTTAAATTTATTATAATTTACATTATAAAATTGTGACGGCACAAAATGGTTTGACAAGACAAAAAACTTAAATGTCAAAAACTGCTTGGTTTCTTTTCTCTGTTTAAAATTATATAAGCGTTACTATTCTTACGTAGTCGTAGAGAAAATAATGTCTGAAACACGTTTGGAATAGCATATTCCACTCTCGTAAAACCGTCACACTCGCCTTCGGCTCGTGTGTCAAATTTTTCCTCGAGCGGAATATGCTGTATTCCAAACTTGTTACAGAATGTACTATTATACTTCGTCAATTAAGAATTTTGTGGCATACTTACGACCAGTTTGACCAATTTGGGCTTTCTTACCTAAAACAAACAAAAGTAAAAATTAATTTAAAACTTACACGAATATTATTTTATTTTAAAATTAAATAAATGTATCCATAGTTTTTGTGAAAAGTTATTTCTAAATGACTAAGTTTGGGTTGTTTTGTGTCGAAACGGTCCAAACTTGAGCAACTTTAAGAACGTTAAACGAGGGTTTTTAGTTGTAAAAGTTAAAAGATTGCTCGCATTTATCAGTGAGATTTCAGAATGGGATTTGGCGGTAAGTGCTTTTTTAACTTTAATATATCGTATGTTACATATATGTATAGTTTTTTTTATTACAAAGGGTGTTCAAGCCACAGTTTTTCTTGTTTAGTAAACTGCTTGACTGTACGGTGAAATGAAGTACGTGATCGAATTTTATCCGGAAAACGCTGAGCGTAGATTTAACAGCATCATCAAGATTCCTGCCTGCTTCTCCATAAATGAAAATCGTTTCTATTTTTTCTTCCACTGTTAAAAAATCCATTATGAATAACGAAAGGAGGTATTTTTGTTTACAAATTAATCTTCGAACTAAATTGATTAAATAATGCTAAACTATAGAAAGTTTCTTTATACCTCAATAATAATTATTATTTCTAACTAAATACCAATTTTTTATACCTCAATTGGATTAAATTAATTAATTGACAAAATAATGTTTTTTTAACCTTAAATGAGGTATTTTTATTAAAAATAGTACAATAATCCTTTAAATTAAAGGATTTAATGCTGGCAGGTAAAAAGTGACCATGGTGCGCAATTGATAATATCACCGAATTAAATAATGTACCTATAAAACTTAAATATTAGTTAAAAAATCGTGGGTACTTAAAAAAATCATATTTAATTCAATGATTATTACCAAAAATGTGATATTTTTATAGAAAAATTATTGCAGAATCGTATACAGCATTAAAGTCGAAGAAAATTGATTTTTTATTTTAAACATTTTTTTGTAAAAGGCACACTAACTCACCCTGTATATGGCTCGTTAAAAATAAAATGTTAAGACCAGGCCACAGAAAACATGAAAAGATTTTAAAAGCCCGTATCAGGAGAGCATGAATCTAATCACTCTTCAGTGTTAAAGCTCGACCTTTAAGGGGAAAAAAGTTGGTCCTACTTGAATCCTTTTCCTAAAATGACAGGGTTTTCCTTTTTATTTTCCGCTATGAAGCAGGACGACGTTTAGACAGCTAACAGGATGCCGTTTTAATGCTGCTAATAAATTTCGCGTACGTTGGCTGTAAAAACAATGCGAAAAAAAATGTACCTAGCTTGATAAGCGTCCTGGAAACAAAGGATTTTCTATGTACCTAAACTCAGAAAAATGTACATGCACTGATAATAATAATTTAACTTAAATTTAAAATTGTAATTGCTATAAAAAATGTACCACCTAACTTAGGTGACCTAAGGTACCTTTTTTATTAAATTTTCAGTGTCTTATTGGGACAAAACCTTCGATTTGTCAAAGTAATGAGATTATTTTAATTTACAGAATAAACTTTTTTTACTGTTAATAAAATTCTCATTTACTATAATGAAGCAGCAATGTTGAGCTTTTATAAAAAAATGTTCATCCAACAAAGTAATAGTTGTTATCATATTTTCAAGGCAATAAGAAATACTTTATGTTTATATTAAATCTTTGTCGAACTTAAAATGTTTTTGTTAAATCTATACTTGTGTGTGAATTGCGCTTACATAAAGTAATGCGCATTTTTTATAGTAAAATTTGTTCATTTTACTATAGCATATTTGTCTTTTTTAAATTACTATCGTTGTAATTCAAATTAATTTTATTTCAGTTAGAAAATAGCTTACGTTAAGAACAATAACAAAAATATTATATTGCTATAAAAAGACTTTTTTAATATTTACTATTGTTTTGCAATGGCAACAAAATTTTTGTTATTTCCCTTAAAAAGAGGGGGAAAGGGCCAGCGCTCTCCTTGGTGAACATAACTTTATAATCCACAGTCTGAGTTATAATCTTATTGATTTCACTTGTGCGAGTGAAGTGTGGTAAAATCTAGCATGATAAAAATATCAAAAAGATCACTAAGAAAATTAAAATTTCGACGTTTTCTAAAATAAATATTTAAGGTCTATTCTATAAACGAAGCAGACTTGTTGTTTAAAAAGTGAGTTCATATTTTTTTAGTTTGTACATTATATAATATGAGTTAATTTTTTTTTTATAATAAATTATTTAATTTTAAATGTTAAAATCTTGAGATTTCATGACATGTTAAAATAAAAAAACTACTTCTACTGAAGTACGTACCGTTTTTTGAAACGTCTTGAGTACCAATATCTAGATGTAGCAAATCTCTGCAGGACCATAACGCTTTTGATTAATTAACACATTATTTTAATTAATTAATAAATACTTTATTACATATTCAGAGAAATTAATAAATAATGATGATTACAATGAAAAAAAAAAACAAATGCGATTATTCAAGGGTTCAAACAATACTACCAAATTGAGCACACAAATCAATTAATTTTTTATTAATATCGTTTGGGGGCACCCAAATCCACAAATTTGTTTTTTTCGTTTTCGGGGACATCAATTGGATTTGTTTGTATTAAATTATCCTAATTGCCTTAATATCGATGTGAACAGAGAATTTCGTGACACGAATGCTTTGTGTAGGTTGGAGTTCACATTTTTGTATAACAAAAGAAAAATCAATAAATTCCGATGAAAGGAATGCGAGGAAAATTATTTTAAAGCAAGAACAAGTTTAATAAAATAAATATTTTAATTACTAAAAGTGGAAAGTTTCATTTTGCTTTAAAGGGTGAAATAAGTAATATAATGGGTGTATCTACAAAACTTTTCGTTGCGTAGTTCTACTAGTTATCAACTTAATTTTAAGAAATTTTTAAATTCCAAGTAATAAACATTATAAATCAAAAAGTTACTTAATGTCAGGGTTGTACTTGATTTTATCTAATAACACTAGTTCACTGTAGCACTATGATTTTCTTGTGTAGTTTGGCTCAAAAACGCGAAAATCACTTAATTTTTTTTTCATGAAGCGTTCGAGGTCTAAAATTTTCTTAGATAAGTCCAGTTTGATTTATTTTACGTATAAATTATACTTAAAGGAACAAAATAAGCTGCCAATGATAAAAATCCAGGGATAAATGGCGAATTTATGAATTTTTCAGTGGCAGATCAAAATTCAGCTTTTCGAGAATTTTATTGAATTGAATGTTTTATTTTGTTGTAATAAGCATAGGTTTAAAAAAATTCTGTTCTCCAGTCCCTACATACAAATTCTTGGTGTCTTCGAACAATCCATCGATAATGATACATCAAGTATCATAAAGGACCTCGTTAGGCTCGAATCGACAGCGAAGACAAATTTGAGCTGTGCGGTCTCGACCCGATATCAGATGTCATTTCGAACATGAAATGTTCTCGACAATTTGCATTGATGAATTTCACAGTCCATCCCCTAGTCATGATAATTTACATTTAGGGAAAGTAGACAGTTATCGGACACTTTATAGTTATTGGACAATTAACATCAATATTGTAAAAACAAGAGTTCTATAAATAGTTACCTTAAAGTGAAAATCATTAGTATACAATTATAAATATCTTAGTGGGTAATAATATAGAACTACTTTATTTTGGGTCTAATAGAGGACAAAAAAGTTCGCACGTTACTTTGGTGGTAAGATTTGTGTTTTTTTGTTAATAGCAGGGCTGTGTTTAAATTACAATAAAAAATATTTCTAAAAAGTGTACAGATCAGTGTGTGGTATAAATGTGTTCCTCATGGTTTAAACATTGTCACTTAAATGCGTTTTAATTTTAATTCTGAAAACAAACAGTAAAATGGCCAGTGTCCAATTACTGGCTGGTAAAAAATGTAAATTTCTATTATTGGACATGCGTCCAATATCATACTCTATTTGTATCCCGGACATTTCCAGCCAATTCTTATGTAAAATAAAGTTATAAAGTTATAAAGTGCTCTTTTAGTTCCACCCTTACATCCAAACTAAGATGTCCCATAAGCCAACTGAATGGCTTGTGCGGGTTAGGGGTAGGAACGGACCGACGGCTTAAAGTCCCCTCCGAAGGACTATACACAATGGACAAACACAAATAAACAACCATACCCAAGTGGGATTCGAACCCACGACCTCTCGGCTCGTACCCAGGAGCTCTGACCACTACACCACCGAGGCCAAAAACTATAAAAGTTAAGCAGTTTTTGAGATATAGTCAATTCCATATTAAATGTAAAATTGATTATATTTCAAAAACTGTTCTACTTTTATAACTTTTGACGAGAATTATTATAATGGCTGCTTTTTCGCTATGGCATTTTTGACCAATTCATTTTTAGAGAGTAAGTAATATAGTGATTTCTTCGTCACAGGACTTCTTGCAGAATAACAATAACAGAATTCGAGAAAGAAATATTACCTAATTACCAAAAACAGCAATTTATCTTTAAAAAATATATAATAATTTATGTTATTTGATGTAAAGTTGTTATACGCTTGAAAAAATATCTTTATTGTTGTTTTCATTGTTCGACTCGATCAAAATGAAATTAAGGCGCCACGCGCTGACACTTTCGAACAATTTTAATCGCCTGTCGCTGACAAAAATTCAGACGAGTGCTGCTGCATTACACTTGTTTTTACTCTGAATATTTATTTTCGAAGCGCGATTAATGAACGAAAGTTTATTCTGCCACCACCGCATTTACATTAAAAACGTAGCTCAAATTCGAAAAAACCATTATTGCTGCATTAAGCAAATATAAAAATAAATTTTCAACTATTTGCGTACCTACATAATAATGCAATTAACATAAAGTATGTCCCATGTCGATTCAAATTTAATTAAAATTGTTAATTGCATGTGAGCAGCGTGTAGCTCAGCGAATCAGCGTCAGATTAAGCTAACAAACCAATTAAAATTTTACACTCGGGGTGTTAATTGTTCAAAGGTACATAAAATAAATTCAGGGCAGTTAATTATTTCATTAGAGCTAAAATATTGCTGTTCATAAAAAATATAATTTTTTTTCTACCGAAAAACTTGAAAAATGCATACTTTATACATGAGGTCCAGACCATTTTATGGATTTTCACTGGACCAATTTACTTTTTAGTCAATTTATAAATATCGACGAAAAATGTCGATATATAAGCGAGTAAATAAATTGCCTCGCTCTGCATTCAAAGGCCACAATTTTCCTAAGGGTTTTTAAAGGAAAAATGACAGGCATTTAATATTCGTACTATAAGAATATTGAGTCATAATAGTATTTATAACGTTATTGGATTACATCATTTTTCATGTAATATTTATCAGTTCAGACTCAATCGACTGAATAATAATTATGACACAAATAAACACCTAAAATTTACAGGATATATCCTGTATATATATATTTGAGCCCTCTAAAACTTTCTTTTACATACTTTTGATATCGGATAAGGATTTAATAACTTAAAAAATTCGTTTTTATGGCAAAAATTGAGGTCGAAAATTTACATATCGTCATGGGAAAAACTTTAAATCAAACAGATAACTCCAGTTTGATTTTTTTCGTGAAGCTAACATTTTTACAAAAAAAACAAGCTAATGTTGATAAAAATTCATGGAAAAATGGCGAAGTTAAGAATTTTTTAGTGGAAGACTTTTCACAATTTTTATTATATTTTTTTCCTTTTATTTTGTAATATGTTTATTCTTTAATGAAAACCTAATTAAAGTGCATGATTGGAATTTTTTGAGTTTAACGTTTTTTTTTTCGAGAGGAGGTCTTTTTGTTTGCAAATTAATTTTCGAACTAAATTGATTAAATAATGCTAAACTCGAGGCTAAACTATGTATAAATAGTTTCTTTATAATTATTATTTATAACTAAATACCATTTTTTTATACCTCAATTAGGATTAAATTAATTAATTCACAAAATAATGTTTTTTTTACCTTAAATAAGGTATTTTTATTAAAAATGGTACAATAATCCTTTAAATTAAAGGATTTAATGCTGGCAGGTAAAAAGTGACCATGGTGCGCAATTGATAATTATCACCGAATGAAATATTGTGTAAAACTTAAACCAAAGGAAACTTAAATATTAGTTAAAAAATCGTGGGTACTTAAAAAAATCAGATTTAATTCATTAAGATAATTATTACCAAAAAAGTTATATTTTTATAGAAAAATTATTGCAAAATCGTATAAGAAAAAACATCGAACAAAATTCATTATTTTCATTACAGCGCGCCATCTATTACAAATATGAAAAAATGTTTTAGACAAAATCTACCTATTTTTAGTCGAATCATCAGAATCTGCAATAAAACTTTTTCGTAAAATGCATACTATAGATATTTCAAATTTCAAAGTTTTAAGTTAAATGATTCACCCTGTATATACCTACTTGATGATAAAAAATGCTTTATTGTGTTGTTATACAAAAATTCTTCATACATTAAAATAAATATTAATAGGCAACCCTTAAAAGGGCCACTTTGGCTAATTGCCCTACACATAAACTGCCACACTTAAAAGGCGAAATCCAATGCAATAATTTTAATCGAGAAGACTCAGGACACAGGTGTCTAATTTGCAAAGCGAGGCGATACGGGTTTGGTAAGAAGAACGAGTTAGCGCTAATTTACGTTTATGTCTCAAGAGTATGCTAAATTCAGCGTTTTCCGATGGAAAATGCCGAGAACATTTATCATGGCTAGATGTAAAGTGCTAATGAAACGGGAAAGGGATCGTGTAAATATTCAATATCGGCTTTGTTTGCGAAATATGGATGGATTTTGTAATTTAAGAGGCATAATTTAAGCCTTAGTGGAAAAAATATTGTTTCAATATTTTTAGGTAATTTTTTTATTTCGTTTTTGTAAATATCATATAATTCATATATTTCTTTCTCGGATTCTTCATCCCTTTTCTGGATTCTAAAGAAATCTCTATATTACTTACTCTCTAAAAATGAGTTAGTCAAAAATGTCATAGCGAAAAACCGGCCACTAATAATTTTTGTCAACAGCAATTTGTATCCAGGACATTTAGCAGTCAATTCCTATGAAATATTATTCGCTGAATCGGAAAATGTCGTCAAAAGTTATAAAAGTAGAACACCTTTTGAAATATAATCAATTTTACATATAATATGGAATTGACTATATCTCAAAAACTGCTTAACTTTTATAGTTTTTAATGGTCTTTTCGGATTCAGGGGACAATTGTACATAAGAATTGGCTGGTAAATGTCCGGGATACAAATAGAGTATGATATTGGACATATGTCCAATAATATAAATTTACATTTTTTACCA